AAAATAATTTAGATCGAGATACCCTACTCCCTTCATTTACCTATCTTCCCGTTCCTTCAATCCCAACACACCCTATTTTTTCGTTGTGTTGAATTCTTTAGTTTGGTAACATATGCAATGAAGTAGGAAAACAATTTTATTTCAACAAATATAATTAATTTTTGTTTGTTTTTGAAGAATTTTTTTTACTCAATCCTTACCCCTACCCCTGTCCACCACTCTGCTCCCACACCCTACCCCCCTAGCCTCCTACCCTACCACTCCTCGTCCACGTCCACACTGCCACCCCCTGTTCCTTCAATCCCAACACACCCTATTTTTTCGTTGTGTTGAATTCTTTAGTTTGGTAACATATGCAATGAAGTAAGAAAACAATTTTATTTCAACAAATATAATTAATTTTTGTTTGTTTTTGAAGAATTTTTTTTACTCAATCCTTACCCCTACCCCTGTCCACCACCCTGCTCCCACACCCTACCCCCCCTAGCCTCCTACCCTACCACTCCTCGTCCACGTCCACACTGCCACCCCCTACCCTTCGCCCCCAATTTTGTGTGGTTGTATTTTCGAAAAATCTATGTAAATATTTCAAAAATTTTAAAATTTATTCTCATTCCAATTTTTATTAACTATTGAAGATGACAATATTTTATCCATTCAGGAATGAAAACTCAGGTTTGATCTCATTGTTATTAAGACAAAATTGAAGAAGACATCAACTTTCTCAAATTGCCTTTGAAGTAATGGTGATTGAAATAAGAGAGAGTATGTAAAAAGTAATTAAAAAGATGAAAGTGAAAATGTAATTAAATAGGAGAAAAGAACTAAAAATAATTGAAACAAGAGAAAATGTAAAAAGTGATTATAAAACTTTTACTGTGGGAGGGCCAATATAAAAAGTGGGGTTTAAAGTTTAAACCGTTTTTAATTAGTTAGCTCAACCAAACTTGAGTTTAAACAAAAGCTTTTTCACACGCTAGCTTATTATGAAAAATATACAATTCTAGGAAGATAAATGTTGCTTATTTTTACCTCGTCCATGAATGTTTGTCCATTTTTAACTTTTTTTAGTCAATGGTTTTCAACGTTTGACCTATAAAAATAAAATACACGGAGTATATTGTATATTTGTTACATAAAATGATATTTTGAAAATATTTTATATAATAAATCTAATAAAATTATTTTTGTATCAATATCTGATATGAGTAGCATTTTTATTTAATTTGAGGTCAAAGTTTATTAATTTTAATCAATAAAAGTCAAAAATAGACAAAAATACTCAGAGACGGGAGAGAATATATCCATATGTACTCCGTAATAGTTTATTGTTTGGGTGAAAATTAAGTTACATAAAAAAAAGTTATACTCTCTCCGTACAACAATAAACTTTCCAGTTACTATTATAGTCTCTCGATAACTTATGTTTGTTTGCATACTTTTATCAATTATTTGATAAGATAAAATATTTTTGTCACATCTTATTTTGTAAAACCTTTGATATAGTTTTGAATAATGTAACTTTTTCTTTTTAATGATATAGCAATTTATAAATAAAGTAATTTGGAATTTTATACGTTGTTCAAAATGAAAAGTTTATTGTTATATAATAAACGAATATTAATTTTTTATTAGATTGATTAAGTTAGAAGATCAATGAAATTAAAAAGTGTATGATAGAAACATTAGTCGAATATGCATCTGAGATGGTTACCATGTACTGTATGATATACTCCGTATATGGTGTAAGCATTGTTTATATACCAAATACTAATGAAATAAGCCATCTGGCCGGTCTAGCTCAGTTGGTAGAGCGCGTGGCTTTTAACCACGTGGTCGTGGGTTCGAGTCCCACGGTCGGCGTCTTTTTCTTCCTATTAGGCCATTTAGTTTTGTTTTTTATTCTAATTACAGCATTTTTTTTATTTTATAGAGATTAAAATTTTGGTGTATTGCACATGAAATTATGAATACACCTCTCTCAAAAAGAAAAAAAATGGACATTTAGTTTTGTTTTTTTATTCTAATTACAGCATTTTTTTATTTTGTAGAAATTAAAGTTTGGCGCATTGCACATGAAATTATGAATGCACCTCTCCCAAAAAGAAAAAGAATGTACATTTAGTTTTGTTTTTTATTGTAATTATAGCATTTTTTAATTTGTAGAAATGAAAGTTTGGCGTATTGCACATGAAATTATGAAAGCACCTCTCTAAAAAAAATGAACATTATCTACAAATGAGACTAATCCATGAAACTCATCAATGAAGACTACCAGTTTCGATTTTGGAATCCACCAGGAAGACGAACAATTAAGACAAGAGTGATGGTTTCAATTTTAAATTCAAAGCTTCAAACATAGCGACAGATTTGAGGAGTACGAAGGAGGGGGAAGTTTAATTTAGAGGAGAGAGATATGTGAATTTCAATTTTATCCATATTCTTAACGAAAATGTTAACAGAGGATAATTCGTTGAAATTAATATAATAATTGAGGACTAAATTATTGATATTTGATATGTGAGGACTAAATATGAAAAATGACGTATAATTGGAGATCTTTTTGTGGAATTTACTCTTATTTTTATTTGATACTAATCTCTAAATGAAATGAATTGAAAAAAATTAAAATTTTGTTTTGTTTTATGCAAAATGTAAAATATTTTGGGTCAGACGGAGTAATTTTTAAAGCGGAAGGAGTATGAAAAAAAGAATGAACCTAATTCTAGGCTCCCCTATGATCATTTCAGATAATAGACTGGAATGAAATAAATAAAATTTTAATACTTCATCTTTCTCAAAAAGGAATTTGGTTCGACTTGACATAAATTTTAAAAAATAAAAATATAATGTTGAAAGTGATGCAGATGAGAATGAAAAATTGAGAGTCATCAAATTAAAGTTTTTCAATAAAGAAAAATGAGGTTTTTTCCGGACATCCCAAAAAAAGAAATAGGACACCTTTTTTAAAAACGGGGGAGTATAGTTTGTTTGGGAACAACGTTTCCAATTAGCGTTAAAATTTTGAATAAAATTTTAATGATGTAGATTAATTCTGAAAACGCTAACGATTAAAGTTACTGTCTCATAGCTTTTCCAAAACGCTAACGTTTATATCTAACGTTGATCCAAATGGGGCCTATGTTAATAAAGAGTGAGATTTTTACTTGTGATCTCGTTTTAATTTATCAAGAGTCGAACTCGATCATTATCTCATTTTTCACTCTTATTATTTGATTAACTAAGCTCATGTCTCACTAACGAGCACTCCTTCCGTTTCTTAAGATACTTCCTCTTTCATTTTTTTTATTTTTTCCAAAACACTTCCACATCCTATTAAAAAAACTACTTTTATCCATATTTTTTCTTACCCTACCTATCTCATCGTTCTTTTTTACTAATAATTTATTCATCACATATTACTTTTACTCATCATATCAAAGGCAAAATTAGAAAGTCAACCACAAATATATACTCTTTATTTCTTCTAAAAGTAAAAATATGATGCGTTTTATGAATCAGAGAAATTATATGAAAGTACAAACATGGATGGAGTATAGGGGTTGAGATTAATACGCCATTATAATTTAGTACCTCCCAAACTACCTTTTTCACCTCTCTCTCACACACAATTCTTTACAGTTCTTTACAATTAATGCAAAATCAGACTTTAATTGATAAATTATTGACATTTCCATAGAGTATGGGGGGGCCAACCCCCCCTGTGCTACTGCTTTGTTTGCTGCTAAAAGTTGATCTATACATGCTTTAGTTCATCTCTGCATATTGGCAAAGTAAAGGGTGTTTAGGGAATAATATCTCTATTCGATTTCTGACAACTACGCCGGAAGATAAATATATTAAACATAAAGTCTTTATAATAGCTTGTTCTTTAGGGCTTAAAGTCCCCAGTTTCTTCCAATTCCTTCCTGTTCCTTCCAACTCTTTTCAACTATTCTCATTTTCTTCAAACTTTTTCTACTCCCCAACTAATTATTCTAAAAACGATATATTTTTAATCTGATTATTATTATTACAACTATAATGTTCATAACTATAGTTCATAAATTATTTTTTTCATCTCACTATTTTTATGATTCACACTCATTGTTATTCTTTCTTCAACTTGTTAATATGAAAAGGACAATTTTTTTGTATATTAATCTACATGATAAAATCAGAAAACATCAATATTTTAAAATATAATAAAAAATTATGGATAAAATAGTTACATAGAATGTTTTATTAATCTAACTTTATATAAGATCCTTCACCTTTTCTTTTATTACTCATTTTTTTCTCATTTTTATTTATTTCAAAATTTATTTTTGTTTTTTATTTTTCTAATTTTTATAAAAAATTGAAAGTCAAAATAGTTTAGAGAAAAAGACTAAAATAGGAGTAAAACATAAAAAAAATGTACAAAACTAAAAGTTCTATGTATTTATTCAAAAAATAGGAGTTACAATGAAAATAAAATGACAATCATGAAAGAAAAAATATGTTTGATTACATTATGTGACATGTTTGATATTTAAAACAAAATCTTGATATGTATAAAGTATAATTACAAATGTATTATTTTATAATAAATACTGCAAAAATAAATTGAGGTGCAACGTTACCACAATAACTTTTTAAAATTTAATTTTTTTAAATTTATGTTAACTTTATATTATATATTTTTTTGCAAAAGTAATTTTTTTATGTATGAAAAATAACAATACTTTTGTTTTATCTTAAAGACATACATTAAGATAACGTGATGATGATGATGATGATGATGATGATAATAATAATAATAATAATAATAATAATAATAATAATAATAATAATAATAATAATAATAATTTATAAGAACAAAAATTAGAATGAGAATAATATAAAAATACACAAACAATTTTTTTAAAGTTTTTTTAAGTTTTCAAATTTTTTGAAGTTTTTCCAGTTCCTTCTAGTTATTCCAATTCTTTCCAGTTCATTTCAGTTTATTCTAGTTATTCTAATTTTTTTCAGTTCCTTTCAGTTTTTTTCCAACATCAACTCTTTTTTTAGTATTAAAGAACATGCTCTAAGTAGCAGGTGTGTGCCTCACCATTAGGAACAAATCTAACTTATTGTTATTCAATATAAGATTAAAACTTTATTTACTTCTTCTCGGATAATTATATGTTTGGGAGGAAAGTTCTTCTTTGTAGACCTTTTAACATAGAAACCTTTTTTTTTATTTTTTAACTAAGAAAATAGATACTTTTTTAAATAATAAGAAAATACGTAGTACCACGGTATTTATTTTACTCAAATATGACCATAAAATTTGGTTTGGGAGGATCTTAGGACGGTTCTAGCCTTCCTTTTGTTGCAATATTTATTGACTCCGTACGTATGTAATGTATGTATATGTATAAATGTGTTTGGGAAGGCTACCCTAAAGTCTACATATAGTATAGCCTGCAACACTGTTTCCCCTTTTAAGCCCTAACCCTATTGCTCTACTACAGCATTTATAAGGCCAAGCATTACCTCCCCATCTCTCTTTTCTTTGTTCCCTTCTTTTCCCTCTCTTCCATTGGAAATTAAATCACTTTTGCATCCAATAAAGAACTCACCTCCTCTTAAGAAATACCATCCCCCCACCCCAATTATTAAGTTATAATTTTCCTTTTTATTCTTTCTATTTTAAAGAGGTTATGGGTGAAAAAAGATTAGATATTTATATTTAACTTTTTAATTTTACCCATGACGTGATGATGAGTAAATTATTAATGAACTAGTATGATATGATATGTATGATAATAAAAAGTATAGGTAAAAATAGTTTTTTAATAGAAAATGCTATGGAGAAAGTGAAAACAATGAAAAAGTAAATGTTTTAAAAAAAAGATGGAGTACAAACCTCTTGCAAATTAAGATACTACTCGTATAGAAGAAATTTACCAAGAAATAAAAATTCAATTTTTGGTTGAGATGGTTTTGTGGTAATGTGGTATAATATTAGAACCTTGTTCACTTAGAGCTTCAAATGCCATTGTCACATGATTTTTGAAAAAAAAAGTCAAATTCGTACCTACATAAGACTCGAATAATATAAATCTCACAACGTGTTATATATATATGTATATGTGTGTATATATATATATATATAGAGAGAGAGAGAGAGTTTTCGATCACTTACAAAATTAAGTTTTTGGTTGTGTTCGTTTCTCAACACTCACCTGTGGTTTTCGGTTCAACCTAAAACGAATTATCGGTTTTTAAATCAAAACTAGATCGAACTAGAAATCAACAAGGTTTCGAACATGAAATTTTTAGACGCAATTCAAATTTTCAAAAAAAAAAATGTAGAATTGGAATTGCCAGTTTCGATTGATCTAGATTTGAACTGTATTTATTAATTTATTTATTTTAAGAAATACTCCCTCCGTTTTCAAAAACACTTCCTCTTTCATTTTTTCCACTTCCAACAAAACACTTCCCCTTTCTATTAAAAAACTACTTTTACCCTTACTTTTTCATACCCTACCTATCACATTATACTTTTTCTCTAATAATCTATCCATCACATCTTACTTTTACCCATCACATCAGGGGCAAAATTGGAAATCAACTATAATTTAACACTTCCTTATTTTTGCCCCCAAATCAAATGGGAAGTGTTTTTCCAAACGGAGGGAGTATATTTTTATAATTTAAAAATGGAATAGAACAACATCGGTACGAACCAAATACTGTACCATGTTCACCCCTAATAAGAATGGAGGGCAAAGTGGTAATGTGTGATATTCAAAGCGGTAACGTTCATTTTTTTAATTCAAGTGTTTCTAAGTTGGTTCTATAGTTCGTCCAACTCCTAGAATAGACTTTCGGTTTGATCTCAATTAGCAACGTTAGTACTGACTACGAACTCTGAAGTTTTCAGGTCCTCAAAGTTAGCAAAAATTACATCATTTGTCCCCAAACCGATCTTTCCGCTCGAACCCTTGACCAGTTGACCTCTCTTACCGCCTGTTCCCTTGTTGACCACTGGGCTACCCGGTGGGGGTTCAAAGCGGAAACATTGTTGTGGGACGGAGGGAGTAAATGAGGAAAAAAAATAGTAAAAACTTTAAATGCTCAGTCAGTTACTAGGGAGTACTACTAAAGACTTTGCCCATTTCTATTTCCTTGCCTAGAGAAGTAGAGAACTGTTCTTTTTTTTTTCTTACTTGTTTATGCACTTACATTTCAAGAAAGAAGGAATGAAAGTCTGTGCTTTCTTTAGCAGAAGTGAGAAAGAGATGAGCTTTGCAGTGGTGTTTCTGGTGTGCTTTGCAGTTTGGTGCAATGGGGAAGAAGAAGCTCCATTAATGGAGGAAACAGAGCAAGAAGCTCTTTACAGTGCCATTCAAGGCTTTGTGGGCAAGCAGTGGAATGGTTCTGATCTCTATCCTGATCCTTGTGGTTGGACTCCTATTCAGGTTTTATTATTATTATTACATTTCTACTCTTTTTTTCTTTCTCTTTTTTCAACAGAATATTCATCTTTTCATTTGGGAATAATATTTTCAGCTAGCATGATCATTTTGGATATTTTTTAAGAGTATAAATTATCTTTCAAAATCGTTAACACGCTGCAGTTGTTGTCCGGCGAAAGCACTTAGGATCTCATCCACTTTAATCATCATTTATTTTAATTCTCTGATAACAACATAAAAGAAGAAGTTAGGTTTCAATTTTTTGAAATGATTTTTTATGATATAATGTTTCATCCGCAAATGTTAAAAATATTTCATTTTGACAAAAAAAAAAAACTCTATTTTTGGCAACACTTTGTACATTTTGGACTTTTGGAATGTCTTGTCTGATTGGATGCTCCAACTGAAGTGGAAACAAAAAGAGGGACATTGGAAACTTGTTATGCCTGTTTGGCTTATGATATCTCAACCAAACACGCCCTTCCATTCACTCACTCACTCATTCATTCATTCATAAACTTGCTCTGTTATTAGCCATTAGGCAAACAAACACATTCAATCTCTATTTGGTTTTTGAAATTTGGATAATATCTCTGAATTTACAACAATGGGACTCTTGTTATAAGACTGAGGTGTAAATTGTAATTTGCCAACAAAAATTACTACTGTAAAAACCATCATCTTCTAATCTTCTAAAGAGTGTTTCATCATCATCATCATCTTCTTCAACAGGGAGTGTCTTGTGACCTTTTCAATGGAGTCTGGCATGTTACAGACATGAGCATTGGACCTGTTCATGAAAACTCTCTTCAGTGCTCCCAAAACCCAGAATTTACCCACCATTTGTTCTCACTCAAACACCTCAAATCCCTCTCATTCTTCGCCTGCTTCCTCTACCCACACAGAAACCCTGTCTCCATCTCCTCTCTCCCCTGGGAATCACTGTCCGAAACCCTCGTGTCCGTCGAGTTCCGCTCCAACCCCGGGCTCGTCGGGCAGGTCCCCAGCTCATTCGGAGCGCTGACAAAGCTCGAGTCTCTGGTTCTCGTCGGAAACGGGCTGTCGGGCAATCTGCCCGTGGAAATCGGAAACTTCGGGCTCTTGAGGAGGCTCGTTCTCTCCGGGAACCATTTCACGGGGCAGGTCCCGGGCAGCTTCGGCGGGCTGAGAAGCCTCCTGATCTTCGATCTCAGCAGGAACTCTCTCTCCGGCGCGCTGCCCGCCTCCCTCGGGCAGCTGGGCTCCCTCCTGAAGCTTGACCTGAGCAAGAACAGACTCGGCGGGAAGATTCCCGGGGAGATTGGGGATCTGAAGAACCTGACACTGTTGGACCTCAGCGGCAACAATTTCGCCGGAGGGCTGCCCAGAGAAGTCCTAAAGATGGAGTCTTTACAGGAATTGGTGGCATCAGACAACCCTACACTGGGGGGGACCCTGGTGGGGCTGGACTGGGGTAACCTCAGAGGGTCCCTATCAGTCCTGGACATGTCCAATGCAAAGTTGACAGGGGGAATACCAGAGTCCATAATGGCTCTGGAGAAGCTCAGATTCTTGGGGCTCAATGATAACAACCTAACAGGGGAGATACCTTCAAGAATTGCAGACCTGCCAAACATAGCTGCAGTTTACCTGAATGGCAACAATCTGACAGGGGAGCTTCAATTCCCTGAGGGGTATTATGGGAAGATGGGGAGAAGGTTGGGGCTTTGGGGCAACCCAAACCTGTGCTACCCCTTTGGGTCAACTGGGAAGGTCCCCTTTGGTGTAAAGGCTTGTCAGCAGCAGCAGCAGCAACAAGATGTCACCACCACCACCACCACCCTTGGTGCTGATGTCACCAATTCCATGTTTGGCAGTGGGGATAGCAGGAAAGGAGATGAAGATTTAAATTCTTTGATCTCCTTGGGAATCTCAAGCCACTTTGGCATTTGGAAAACTCTTCTGGCTCAACTGCTTATTATTGCTCATCTATAGAATATTGGTGGGGTGGGGGGGGGGATGGGGTGGGGGTGGGGGTTAGAATCTCAAAGAAGCTATGGCCTCTGGATATAACCATCTTTAGTAACAATCTAACTTCACTCTTACCCCCTATTTGGAAGACAGAATAAGAGAGGAAAGAAAATCTATGGAAAATGAGGTAAAGAGATAAATAATGTTGGGAAGAGGGAAGGAAAGTAAGAAGGGATTGAAAATATGAAGTTATTTTTCCTCATTACTGTTCCTCCTCAAATGGGGTGAAAATCTTATTTTCCTTCCACTTATTATATCCAAACAAGAGGAAGGAAAATAAATTTATTTTCTTCTTCAGCATTTTTCATTCTTATCCAAACAAGGGGTTAGAGTCTCTTTCATGGAAAAAAAATGTCTCTTTCATGCAAAAAATAGATGTTTCGATTTATGATGTTTGACTTTAATTAATTTCATTTCAATTTATTTAAACGTTGTTGTAAAATTGAAAAATAAAATTTACATATTTAAAAGCTATATCAAGAGTTGTTCTACTCTACAAAGTAAGAGGTAATTTGATCATTTTTTGTATCAAATTACTATTGAAAATATGTTCAAAAACATATATAATTAGACTATATGAATAGGTACTAGAAATATTCTTGTAAGATGGAAAGAATCTATACTAAGAGTTTTACACAATGTTTGATCCAGGAAATTTGAAAGGTAAAAATAAAAGAAAATAGGATGAAAAATATTTTTTGTTGTTTGGTTAAAGAGGAAAAGAAAAGAAAAGTGAAAGAAAAAGAGAATGAGAAGGCAAAATGTAATAAGAAGAGGAAAACTAAATTCCTTCCATTCGGTGAAGAAAGTGAGAAAAAATTATTTTCTTTAAATTTTCCATTCAAATTCCTTGAACCAACCATTATTTTAAGGATGGCCATGCCCCGAGAAGGACCGTTTTTAATTATTCAATAAAAAGGACTACAACATGGAAAACATGTACTTTAGGTGCATCCAAATAATGCAAATGAACATTTAAAATATCATTGCATAACAGTGAGTGAGTGTGTGTGTGTTAAGAGAAAGAGAAAGACAGAATAAATGGACAAATTTTGGTATTAGATTGGAGATGCTGAGGACCAAAGCAAGTAAGCAACATGACCATTTTTTCTACATGTGTACAACACCAACAACAATGTACATACACCCCTTGCAAACCACAAACAAAATGGTGCAGAAAACAAAAAAAAATCATGACTCAATCTCTGTATAATCATTTCTGGCCCACTAAAATAGAGCACGGTGAACGAAAGAGATGTTAGTACCTCGCAAAAGAAACTTCAAAGTTCATCGTGCACAAGTTGTTCTAAGGGTACATCGAGAGGAGGAACGCCGTTCTGTTGGACCTGAACAATGTTAGGTACAATCTTCTCCACTTTCCCACTCTTTACGGCTTCCATAACCTTCCGTTGCAGCTTTAGAAGTCCAATGCGCTTTGAGACGACATAGAGTGCTGCCAAAGAGAAGAGAAGAAACCCCGCGACAAGTATCACCCTGCTCATGTTATGAGCTCTGTTCAGAAAACTCGAATCGAAGAATTGAATTTGTTGTGCATTAAAGAAAAAGGGAGTTGTTGCACATTTATACCGATCAAGAACTTCCTGGCGTTGCATTGTGGAGAGAAGGTTTCGGGTTTGCATCAGCAATGAGCGATGGCCTTTGTATTCACTCTCAGCTTTTCTCAAAACCCCTGTTGATTCCTCTGCAGTGCCAAAACCATGCGAGTTGTCATCTTACTACTGAATCAGAGTACAGTTAAAACTTATAAGGCAAAAAGAACAGGCCCTAGCTGGACCTTGCATTTTGAATTTTATTTTTGTATTTTAACCTAGTTTTAAAGAAGAAAATATTACTCCCTCTGTCCCCCTATCTTTGTCCCATTTTACCATCTTGGTTCGTCCTAAAGTATTTGTCTGGTAACATATTTGTCATATTTGTGTCGTTCGAAATCATACAAAGAATAGAAGTCTTCATACAAAGAAATGAAAGATACCTACCAAATGTCATTAGAGTACTAGCACTTCTTTCAACCTCCTGAAAAATAAACAAAACGTGTACAGTAAAATAGTGTATTTTTCTAAAAAGAAGAGGGTGGCTTCAACTATAAGAGTTTCGTTTCAAGGGATGCGGAAACTTACCTGAACCATCAATTGGCGAGTTCGGCGAAGGCTTTCTGTGATGCTTTCAGCTGCAGATGTCATTCCAGCTTTTGTCCTGACACAACTCACAAGCATGTTTTATTCACATCCACTAATATCATTCAAACATAGACCACTAAAATGTATTTAATGGCATCTGCAGCTGAAATGAAGCACAGTATACATACTGCAAGTTGCGTCTACGAATGGTGGATTCCCCTCCACCTCCCAAAAGCAATTCTCTCTGAATATAATTATGTGAAGTTAGAATAATAGCTCCAATAAAATCGCAAAAAGAAAAAAAATCAATATTTTTACTAAGAGGAAAGGGACTAGCTTCAACTCCGCTATGAGATATACTCCGTACGTCTGAAATTAATTCTCCACTTTCTGGATTTCATTTTCCCGGAATTAGTTGTCCACATTCCATATTCAATAAAGAAATTACGACATTGTCTAAAATATCCTAAATATAGGGTATGGGCATTGTTGACAAGAATTAGGAATACACTTGTTTGAAAGATTTCTTTGACATAATAGACTCATTTCTTACAAATGAGATTTTCTAGAAAGTTGATAACTAAATCCGAACAGAGGAGTACTATAATAAATAAGGCATGAAAGAAAAATCTCCAAAGAAGAGAAAAAGCTTTACCTCCTCTTGTGCAGTTTTCCTCATATTAGTCTTGGCTTGTAAATTAGCATTTCTCAGGGCCACCCGCCAGCTATATGATCCAGAGAACATTTTTCAAAATCAAGGAAAGTAACCATTAGAAGAAGCATAAAATACAATGACACTCCTATCCCATTTCTTTTCTTTCTATTTTATTTTCGTTTTCTAGTGGAAGCACAAGCAATAAAGGATTGACCTAGTAGCCAACAGGATAAAATAAAGACAGCCCCGTTCATAGCAGCCAGTGTAAGCTAAAAGAACTAGAGGGGGTTTGAATCTCTTTCTCTCCCCATTTCTTGATCATTGAGAATAACAAAAATGCAATTCAAACCGTCCAATTTTTCCATACGAAATCATCCTCTCCTCGTCCAATTATTAGTTGTTAGCAATTTGAAATGCATCAACCAACAAAAAACATTGAAAACATGCAGTTTATACGAATAATTCTTCGCAAAACTTGTGATGAATTGGGATCAAATTCCTCTCACATTCCAAACAGAACACATTCCTCACATTTTTGAACTCTCGGGATCAGCCAACTGAAGAACAAAGAAGGAGAGATTATCTCAAATGAAACATTTAAGGAGAGAGAGATGACAACAATGCTGTACCTCTCAATTTGATCTTTCCACGAATCAGCCAGAAACTGGGCATCCTGAACCTGATCATCACTGGGCATCTGCGGGGCCAAGAGATCAAGCCTGAATTGCAGCGATTGAAGCAGATTCAAGCAGTCCTGTGCGAGGCCGTTCAGTCTGGGGAGTGAACTCTTCTGCTCCTCCGACGAAAACCCCAATCCAGATTTTCCATAGTCTCGGATGGAATCGATGTGTTGTTCTAGCTTTTTTCCTGTTTCTTTGTACTCCTTCTTCACCGTCTCCACCTCCAAGGCCACCTCGTCCATTGTTGCTTGAGTGAAGTTCAAAAACCCATTCGATTTCGGAATCTTGTTCTACAGAAGGATGAAGAAAGGTGGAGAGTTCGTTCGATCAAAAGCAAGAAGGGGAGAGTTCGGATCCGTATACCGGGTTGGCAATGGCGGGTTCGGGTCGGGATCCTAAATCTAACCGACCCCACCAGCCATATTTTTGGAATTTGGACTGGTCCAAAGCACTCCAAATAAAGCTAGATACTCCGTATGATTATTCTTTGAATATAAAAAAGTGAAGACTATCTAAGAACTTGAAAAATAAAAAATAATACTCCGTAATAAATTTACATTTTCTAAGATTTTTTTGTAGGATTTTCAAGACCCAATATTAATTCGACATAAATCAAGAAATCTAATGTATCAAAAAGATTAAATTCATCTGACCACTGTAAGTCAGATCGAGGTAGATGTAATTAATATGAATATTGGACGAGTCATCAGTGGCGTGACAAACTAATTGATCAAGATGACAAAAAGATAAACTCAAATTTGATACTTTGGGAGTTAATGCTAACTACTCCCTCCGTTCAAATTTATCCAGTTGTTGTTTACGTTGTGTGACTGAAACTAATTTAATTTATTTAAAAATATGTGTATAATTAAGTAAAATAAGAAGCTTGTACTGTTTGATTCATACAAAAAATTGTACGAATCAAGATGTAATATGTTGCGGAGTATATTATTTTATCAAATTTGCAAGAAAAAACAAATAAAGTAATTAAAATTTGATCCATGGATGCATATAATTATACTTTATTCCTACAAAACTAAATTGTTCTCTCAATTTTAGAAGTTAGAACTATCAAGGATGGGACGTCCATTTTTTTTTAGACCAAACCAATGAGTCCCCCCCCCCCCCACCTCCTGTTCCACTATTTAATCATTATTAATTTATTTTACATATTCCTTCCGTACTAATTTAAGTTACACATTCACTATTTGCATGATTAAATTTTTGTTACTTCCTTTGTCTATGTTTTGTTATTCGTTGAATAAAATAATATAGTCATATTACCACTTGTTTTTTATACATTTTGATGTAGTTTTTTGATACATATGAATTTTATTTCTTAATTTCCCACCAATTTTAAATAAATTGATTTGAAAATAATTTCAGTCAAAAATCATAAATAATAATAAAAAAATATGCCGTGCAAATTTTTATTTTGACTTCGAGTTTAATGTACATCCTCCATTCCACAATAACTATAGATTTTATAAGGACCCAGCTTGGGACCCAACGGAGCGTTGGATAAGACCCTCTATTGACCGGTGTCGTAATATGCCGCGCCCAAGGCAGGTGTCTCAAGAGGGTGGCCCTAATGAAACAATATATTGGTTTCTTTTCAAAGAAACCATATTTTTTTTAAGCACAAAGAGACCATACTTGAATTCATAATGTAAACCATCCAATATATATATAATAACACTAATGTCATCCATTTTCGGCGCGCTCCAAATTTTCACCTCAAACCACACTCGAAAGAATGCGTGCGTGTGGGAAATGAGAGAAAGAATGAACGAATGAACGTTACGTGTGTGGGGGGATTAAAATGGGCTGACTTTGGTAGCCAACTTCAGCATGCATTCGGGGACCAAACGTCTCCTTTTGTGAGCATTGGAAGCCTCTGCAAGTGCTTCTGGGTTGTCACAATGGATTCTACTGATCAAGTCCTCCAACAGCTCATCCATCCCACCTCTCATTGGATCCTGAATCAAGAAAGTTTCAATTTCACACCAATGAAGATCGGGTACGAAGATTTTTGTGCCCGTTTGGTTGAGGTAAATTTCACACCAACAACGAACAATAACAATAAGCCCGGTAAAATTTTACAAAAAAGTAGTGTCCGAGGAGGGTAAATTTAGTAGCAACAACAACCAACAAAAACCAGTATTATTCCACTTACACCCCTGACGCATTGCTTCTTACTTTCTATGAAGTTTTGGGTGGTAAATGTAGCAATGCATCTAGGGTCTAACAGAAAATAACTTCTCTGTTTTTACGGGGGTAAGATTACATACATCTTGATCCCCCCCCTAGATCGTAACGGGGTGGGTATTATATCGGGTTGTTTTTGTTGTGATTGTTTGCTTTAGCCATTTATTTACCTGAACATATACCATCCACAACAAATATGATTTAAGCTTCATTGGCACTAGAGGGAGATTTGACCGAATGGGGGTAAGTTTGCTAATATTATGCCTGAAATTTCTTCTAAGGCAACGTTTGGGGAAACAAGTAAAACACCTGGAGAAACAAGTCTGTGTGTGTTTTCCCTTCATACATGACTGCTTCAGCTTTACCTCCAAGCTCATTTAGAGTGTCAGCAAACTTCTTGCTGGAATCAGAAAAAATGATGAAATGTGAAGCCATTTCTTCAAAGTGCATATCCATCCATCCTTTAGTAGTAATGAAGAACTCACAAGATTTCTCTCTCGTCTAAACAAATTTTAATCATACGCTTTTCACTTTTTAAAATTTTTCTTAAACTCTATGAAACTCAAACGGGTAAAGTTTTTTTGGGACGCATGGAGTATATGTTATAGTACGTTGTTACTACTGTCAATGGGAAGAAGCTGAGGGCATACCTGGACTCGCAAGGAATGGAGTAGTCGGCGGTGCCATGGAAAAGGGAAACTGGAGGGAGGAGTGGAACGGCATTTCTAACATATGGGTCTTGCACCATTAACTCCGGCGAGTATTTTCGCAAAGATTCTTCCCCTTCCATTATGCTGCACAAATTGAAATTGGAATCAGGAATACTTTGCATGTTTACAAAATTTTGACATGATTTGATACGACCCTCGAGTGTAATTTGGATCAAATATAGCTTTTCTTGTACCAAAATACCCTTCTTAATAAAGCAAAATATTCAGGACTAAATGGAGTATTACATTAACATGATGGTGAAGGACCAAATTGAGTTTAAAATAAAATTAGAGAACCAAGTTGAGTTATAATGTATAGGGTGTATAGTCAAGAGAGTAACACAGGCATTAGACCGTTTTACCTCAGAAAGAGTGAGCGGTACAGACCCCGAGTGTCAAAGTGATCCACTAGATGAAGCAAATTGTACCTTATGATCATCATCACAAAGTGTCAAAATCTAATAATTAGTGCTACAAAAAGCGTTAAAACATCATAAATTTGAGTGCGACTAAGCCATCACCCATCGGGCAAATGTAAAAATACAAAAACAATAATAAACCCAATAAAATCTCACAATAGTAGGGTCTGGAGAAGGTGCATGACCTTACTTACCCCTACTTTAAAGTAAAGAGAATGTTTTCAAGAGACATCCCGCTCAAATAAGAAGCACAGAAAAGTAAGAGCATAATGACAAACATTACAACACAAACCAACTTATAAGACATTGAAGTACATTTCTTGACCTTCAAGAATGGAACCCCAACACCCCAAGTCTTAATAAGAACCAAAAGAATAAGAAAAAAAGGGAGCACCAAAGACTTCAGTTAAGCCATCAAACAATGAACTTACCCTCCTGATAAGCCAAAATATGCCTTTATTTGAGATAAACTCCATGAAGTGCTTTGTCCCTCACCAGCTTCTTTGATCATCTGATCCACAAGAACACATGCAGATATATGTGCTCCGGCAGATTGCCCCATTAAGTATATTCTACAAGCAACCAACCCTATAAGTTGCACGTTCAATGAGGCTATTGGAACTCGAAAAATTGGCATACAAAGGGGGAAAATTGTGAAGGAAAATGACAAGAGCAAAGCAAATTTTGATTTTTATTTTTAATACATATATAGATTTCCCTGTCTTTAGTAATAGAAATTTAAGAATGAAAGTATTTAAACAAACATGCAAAATTGATTTATGGAGCTAAAAGAGTCATTATTGATAGAGCTTTAGTTTCAAGTACATGATGGATAATTAAACATCCCTTGCTTCTTACTTTCTGTCAAATTTTGGCTAGTAAATGCAGGAATGCATCTAGGGTCTAACGTAAACATCCTCTATTTTATAAAAGGGGTAAAGCGGCGTACATCTTGACCCCAAACCCTAGCAAAGTTGGGATTATACTGGGTTCAGTGGGTTGTTGTTGTTGTTGTTGAACCACTTCTTGATTTTCTTCCACATATTCTTTCCACACAAATTTACCCTCTATATTTCCTTAGCATTTTCCCAGTTCCAAACCGACCCTAAAGGGTTTAGTGTTGCAAGCGAAAGTATGTCAAAACCTAACTCCTACCTGTTAGGATCACCTCCATATTCAGCCGCATTGTTGCACACGAAGGCAATACCTTGGGAAGCATCTTTCACCATCTCACCAATAGTTGCCTGGGGAAAATTTCTGCAAACAAACTACTGGTGTTAGTGTACATACGATTAGAGGCTATTAATGACCTGTGGATAGGTGACCTGCAAATTGCTTATTGACTTGTCAAAATGAAAATAAGATCCTAAGGGTCCATTTGGAACTCAGAAAATTCTCTTCAAATTCATTCTTTATTTATGCCCATCGTGTAAATGCTTAGAAACCTAAAGATATGCAAAAATAAAAACAAACATAAATAATATTTCATTTTCTTGGCATTTCAAGGAAAAACCGAACATAAAAAAGAATTTTCTTAGTATTTTCTTTTGCTACAATTTTATGCATTCCAAACATAGCCTAAATAGAGGCTGAACAGAGTGCACAAATGTCTTATTAAATGTATCCCAAAATCACCTGTAGTCAATGCATGCCACTATAATGCCTCTTTCGGATAATTGCTGTCCTAAAAGAGAGCCCCAAGCCTTGTAACTGCAAAAACAATATGTCAAGTAAATAATGGACTGAATAAATGTGACATATTAAACTTCATTTGCTTCTTACTTTCAATGTAGTTTTGGATAGAAAATGCAATAATGCATCAAGGGTCTAACATACATTTTGACCCCACATCCCAACGAGGTTTGGAATATACTGGGTTGTTGTTGTATTCTTCAAAGTTTCTTGGAAAAAAGCATATCTACTTCTGAGTGGGGTAAACTGGTCATGTTTGGTTTGGTTTTCCAAATAAGTTTCCATTCAAAACCAGTTTAGGGTTTATAAATACTAATAATGGAAACATATTTCAAAACAAACACACCCTATTATCCAAGCTCCACCTGTCACAAATGCTACAACTGGTTTGGGGCCATTGCTGTTTTTAGGAAGGTAAAGATCCAGCCTGCATCACAACATTTTCTTCAGCCACAAATCAATTCTCTTCAAAGACTCAAAATATAACTTGGTTTGATTACCAAAAAGAGAGTGACTGCAAGAGAACCAAAATGACACTAAGGTTTATAAATGCCTGTGATTATGGAGATAAACATACCTATTTCTTGGCTGGTCGCCATAGACAATGCTTCTCCGGACTTGACGAGAAAAAAAGTAGTAATATCCAACTGCAACAGATAAACAGATTTCGTAATATCAACTTCTGGACATCTATAGACACTTTAGAATATAGTTTGACAAACAATAAATATTTTCTAAAAGTATACTACCAAACACTAGAAAAGGCAATGGAAAATTTTGTCTTCTTCGGAAAAAAACTTTTTCCATAGAAATTCTATTTTTCTAGAAAATGATTTTTCATCTATACCAAAAACTGTCTAAATGGAAAATATCAAAGAAACTGCTCTATATAACTCTAATAGAGAAGAACACGCATTCAAAATTATTGTTTTTTTGTGTCCCAACCTTGAACAAAACCAGGGAAAAGAAGGAAAGCATAGAAGCCAAGGGCAAGAAATCTGGTGATCCATCTGTAGCCTATCCTGAATTAAGATACAAGCATTTTAGTTTAAGTACATTTGTTTGAACCTATTAAAATTCATAAAAACAATCGCAAACAAGCAAAGAAAAAAAGTAGCTTGGCATTCTTCCTTTTTAAATATGAAACTATCTACTCCATATGTGATTTTGGTATTCTTTTGTTGGGATTCCTCCAAGTCCCACACCGGAGGGAGAAGAAAAATTGGACCAAAATAAATAGGTTCACCCAACCCCATTAGTATGAGGCCTTTTGGGAGGTGCCCAAAAACAAATCCGTGAGGGCTTGGCCCAGAGCGGACAATATCATACTAATGCGGGGTTGGGGTTAGGGCACGCGCAGTCCCAACATGTGGTATCAGAGCCCAGGTTCTTGCGGGCGTGAGCAGCGGACTGTGCAGTGTAGAAAAATCTCAGTGTGACGGTGTAACAATAGGACCAAGACCAAGAAAGAAGATCCGAAGGTGGTGCCCTTGTGTCGAAAGTCTTCCCGACGAGAGGAGGTCGGGCGGCGTGTCGCGTGAAGTTATAGCCACGGCGGTACAAGATGATTTGGCGGATCAAATGGTGTAGCCCAGCGAAGGAAAGATCTGCGGTTCGAGCCTTGCGTTGAAAGTCTTCCCGACAGGAGGTCGGGCGGCGTGTCCCGCAAAGAGTGTGCGGCGGTGCAAGATGGTTAGCAGATAAAAAGGGAAAATGGATTGAAGGAAAGATCTGCGGTTCGAGCCTTGCGTTGAAAGTCTTCCCGACAGGAGGTCGGGCGGCGTGTCCCGCAAAGAGTGTGCGGCGGTGCAAGATGGTTAGCAGATAAAAAGGGAAAATGGATTACCGCTGGAGGGGAGGTCTGAAGTTGTGTGGTCCTTGGATGAGGGGAGGTTTGTTGGGATTCCTCCAAGTCCCACACCGGAGGGAGAAGAAAAATTGGACCAAAATAAATAGGTTCACCCAACCCCATTAGTATGAGGCCTTTTGGGAGGTGCCCAAAAACAAATCCGTGAGGGCTTGGCCCAGAGCGGACAATATCATACTAATGCGGGGTTGGGGTTAGGGCACGCGCAGTCCCAACATCTTTTGCTCCCTAACTTTTTTATTTCAATGTCTATAAATGCTCAATAGGTATAGAAGTTCTCTATACTTTTAGGTGCACCATAAAAACACTCCATTAGGCACTACTTGCACTAGCAATGTTTGATTCTCACATGTACTAACAAAAATTAGTTCAAATGATAATTTGACAGTTATGAGAGTGCAAACGAATACATTTTCTGGCTTTTGGATTTTTTTAGAAAAGTTTTTAGAAAATAATATATGATCCAAAAGTAGACCAAAACACTTATACTTTTGGATTTCCTCTCTCACAAAAGCATTTTTACACGTACCAAAATAAATCTCACTTTTAAATTTCCTTTTTTAGGAAAGAATATAAGATCCAAAATACTTCTTTCTCTTCTAAATAAATTATAAGTTATAACCACTTAATTTTTACTATTCAATGTCTTTTCTACAATTCTTTTTTATCCCCGTGACATCAAATTGAACAAATTAATTTGGGATGGATAGAATAATACAAAATACTCCTTCCGTGCGTGAGTATTGGTTGTTTGACTTTTTCAATTACATTAAATTTGATTTGCACACTAATAACCAAAATTACTACTCCACTAAAATTATTTCAATACAGTTTCTTTATTAGTGCAAATTTTAGAAATGAAATTTATATATTAAAAACCACATTAAAAGTTCTACATTTCTACAAAACAAGAGTTAACACTATTTCATAAAAAAATATTTTATTTTAACAAATGATCAAGGAAAAATATAAAAAAATAAAATATACTTTAATTAACTTTTGTGAATAACACTAAGAAAATAATTTTGAAATTAAGGTTTGTTTAGGAGAAATATACACCCTTCATACAAATTTAATCGTCCATTTCCATGTTTTTACGTATCCACTTTTATCTGATGTCCCCTAATGGACTAGGTATCCACTTTTAATAAATAATCAAATAAATAAAATGTCTAAAATAGATGGGGTATAAACATGAGGAATTTACGTAAATAGAACTAAAATATAATGACTTTCCCTAAATAGCACTACATGTGTTTTTTCCCAATATAGCACTTTTAGTCATTATCCATTAGTCATTATTCAAATAAATATTTGTCATCACAGGTCATTATGGACATTATTAAGTGCTATTTAAGGAATAAAACAATTTAAGTATTATTTAGAGAAATGACTTGAGTTTTAGTGCTATTTAGTGCAAATATTTCTATAAACATATGAAGACAAATCATTTGAATGTCTTTTTTGACACGAAAATTTCTATAAAATGGAGATTGAATTCAAGACGAGGGAATAAATAATACGAGTATGAGTCACAATTTTTTTTAAATGTGATACTCCCTCAATCTCAAAATAACCATTTCGGTTTATCTTCACAGAAGTTAGAAAATAAAAGTGTTGAAAAGTAAAATATAAGTAGTTGAACCTTGATTAGAAAAACTTTACTCCATATTTTATTAGGAAAGTAAGGAAGTGTACAATTATTCTGGGACAGATTAAAAAGGAAACTAACACATATTAATTCACATTGTGGGAGTACCTCTTAAAGAGTATTTTGAAAGGTGTAAAAATCAAAAAATTACTCCGGAGTACCTTCGGTTTTCTGGTAAAAGTTCTCAGGTTCCACATTATCTTAAATATACTCCGGGATGTCCTTGATTTTTTGGTAAGAACTCCCAGTTCCATATTATCCAAAGTATACTTCAAGGGTCCTTAAAATTTGTGGTAATGTACTCCGAGGATTCCGTCCATTTGGTTGTTATGATTGAAAGTCTTATTATTTTGACAAATACTAAATTTTACATTGATAATCATTATTTTATTAAATTTAAATAAAACTCTTCAATTTTAAAAGTAAAAGAACTTTTAATCTAACTTTTAAATTGAGAAAATGTACCCTCTGAGTATAATATCACAAATTTTAAGGACCCCAGATTATATTTTGGATAATGTGGAGTCTGAGAGTTCTTACCAAAAAAATCGAGGATATCCGGAGCATATTTCAGATAATGTGGAACCTGTAAGTTATTATTAGAAAATTGAAGGTTCCCAAAAGTAATTTTTGTATAAAAATAGTGGCAAATTAGTATTGAGGTCCATATTCATTTTATGAATATATTGATATCGTAAAAAGTTGGGCTTTAAAAGATGCTTGTTAGCCCATTAAAAGCTGATTATTAGAAGATCCACATTTAGGCACTGTTGTGTGGGCTGGAATTTCAAAGTTGTATGTAGGAAGAGTAGAGGGAGTTGCAAGAAATTGGAAAGAGTTGGAAAATCATGGAGCAATTGGAAAATGGTGAAAGAATTAAAGTCACTCAATTAAATGATCACTTACTTAAATACTTCCTCCGTCCCACAAAAAAGTTCCCATTTTGAATAATATTTAGTCAAATATTTACACGCTTTGACTATAAATTGTGAGAAAGGTATATTGATTTATAAAATAAATTTAATATAATTGAATTCATCTTAGGATCTAGTTTTGATATCTCAAATTTTTTTAGCATTTCTTTATTTAGATTATATTTAATTTATGGTCAAAGCGTGTAACTATTTGACCAAAAATACATCAAAATGGGAACTTTTTTGTGGAACGGACAGAGTATATAATCCTTGAATGAAATGATATGTTATAAATTTGGATATATAATGTTATTATATATTCATTAAAGATCACTTTAAAAATACATTTTTTTAAAATCATTACGGGAAGAAAGTTAAACTATGGAGTATTACCCGAGATAGGTTAGAAGTTTAATGGCCAGCCTCGTGACCAAATAAGTATCAGAAGCGGTCATTCCCACACCCTCGCCGAAAGAGTTGCCGCCTGAGGCGGAGGAAAGCGACGAATCACTGCCGGACCGCCGCCGCCTCTGCTTCTTACCAAAATGATTCGGACTTCCCAAGGCAGCATCGGCGTTGAAGCTGGACGCCCTAGAAAGAAAGGGCACCTTCTCGGTTCTCCGATCATCACCATCGTCCACCAAATCCAGAGACGGCGAAATCAAGATCCGCGTCTTTCCGGCAGGCCGATCGCCGTCCGATCGGAAACCCAGTTTCTCTTCAGATCCAGCTGAGATCGCGGAACCAGTCGGATGCGGGGCGGACACAGGAAGAAGGCTCTGTCTCGACATCCTTTTCCTCCCTAAATCAGAATCCCCATTTGCGATCATCAAAATCGGAACAAAAAATTCTCACTTCCGAAAACCAATCGAGGAGTTGTTTCTTTTCATGTTTTTCTTGTGGGACGATCACGGCGTAGACGAAGGGAGTTGGAGTGAGTTTTTGAGCTTATGGATCTCTTGGGATACTGAAATCTGGGATTTTGGGGCCGTGGTGTGGGAGAAGCAGGGAGATGGGAGAAGGAATGGTGGGCCAGTTTGTGCGTTGATGACAAGTGTGATCTTTGGATTGGTTTTGTAGCTCTTTCCTGATTGGACAATAGAAAATTGCCGGATATTTAAAAAAAAAAACAACTTATCATTCATTCATAAAATGGCATTACAAAATCTACATAAAACTGCTCTTGGATACTTCATATTTTGAGAAATTAACTGTGGGTACCTCATATTTTTAAAATATATTCCGAGGTACTTTCTATTTTGAGAAACTAACTATCGGGTACCTCACATTTTTAAAATATACTCCGAGGTACTCTCTATTTTGAGAAACTAACTATCGGGTACCTCACATTTTTAAAATATACTTCAGGATAAATCCAAATATACATTAATTTTACGCCATTAATTTTAAGAAATAGGGGTTTGGAATTTTAAAAAAACCAAGATCTTTTTAATTTGAAGAAAATTGAGTACTCAATTTTAAAAGTATTGAGTACAATTTTCTTCAAATTAAAAAGATCTTGGTTACTTTTAAAATTCCAAACTCCTATTTCTTAAAATTAATGGCGTAAAATTAATGTATATTTGGAGGTATCCTGAAATATATTTTAAAAATGTGAGGTACCCGATGGTTAATTTCTCAAAATAGAGGGTACCTCGTAGTATATTTTAAAAATGTGAAGTACCTGATAGTTAGTTTCTCAAAATAGAAGGTATCTCGGAGTATATTTTGAAAATGTGAGGTACCTGACAGTTAGTTTCTCAAAATATGGGGTACCCAGGAGCAGTTTTCTGCAAAATCTATGCCAAGTAAGAGTCTCCCACCATGACCCTCTTAACCAACTCATGAGCCACCACTTTAGATGATCGACGGGCAAACGACAAAGAAATATAATTAAACTCCGATAACAACTCCCAATAATTATTGATAACAGAATCAACATAAGACAAAAATATACTCACAATTAACTGCTCCCACAATTCTAGAACAATTCGAGAACGCCTTTAATTCTGTGAATTTTCGCTCCTTCGCCTAGCCCAAAGCCCTCTAACATGTCATCGCCATAGCTAGCCCTAGATTAGCATCCTAATTCTCTATTCATGGTAGCAAAGAAAGAGTCATCTAGAGCAAAGAGAACGATACCAAAGCCGACCATATAAGATGGAGGAAATAACACCACCTCCATGACAAACGACCTTTATACTTTAGGGCCGGACTCAAGTTTTATACTCAAGCCCCCGATCTAGTCTGACCAGAATAAATATTACTCTAATATTTATTATTGCTAGAATTATCATAAAATAATAATTAGAACATCATTAATATTTATCACAATACTATTTCAAATTATTATAAATACACATATATACTTCTATAAAGAAAATGAAGGAATTAGAATTATATATGTAATAAAATGAATATATATCTTTATTACTTCGTATTATTTAATCCCTATCACACATTCATAACGATATTCAAATTAATAATAGAGACATTATTTTTTAAAAAAAAGTAACATTATAAAAAAACACATTTTATATATTAGTCGTTCTTTGATACACTCATTATAGTTATTATATGAAACATCTAACACATTAACATTTTTAATAATTTAGAAGTTTTTGTCCATGCAGTCTAGACCAGCTCGAAGCCCACGGGTATCCATGTGGGCAGAGCTTTAATTGCTAGGCTATATGGGTCGGGTTGGGTTCAGGCCTAAAATTTCTCATAATGTAGCATCTTGGTTCGGGTCCAAAACCTTGCCCAACCCGTACTTGATCAGGTCTATCCCGAATTAAGACTTCATATGTTTTTTTTTTACTTTTTTTAATACTAATAACTTTATTACAAAATATCATATACTCCCTCCGTCCCCCTATATTTGTCCACTTTCATTTTTACACACCATCCAATGCACTTCTTTAATCTATTTTATCTTGTAATTTGTATATTAAAAAATTATAGCAATTATATATTAATAATCTATATGTTAAGAAAAATCAAACAAGATCACACATGACTATATTTAGGCTTACACATTGAGAGAATTTGATGAGTCAAAGTGCTTAGATGAACAGTTCCAAAAGTCAAATGTGGACAAATACAGGGGGGCGGAGGAAGTATGTGCATTCTCAATCTACTAAAGCATATAGAGTCAATGCCCTCACTAGGGTTTGGGCTTGTAGAGTTGCAGTCTCTCATTTGAGAGAGCCACCGTGATGCTCCTAGACCATAATGTCTTTAATTTTTTTAATAATACTCCATCTGTTCTAAAAATAATATTAATTTGACTTGATAAAAAGTTTAAGAAAAATGAAATTTATAGTTGAAAGTGATGCACTTAAGAGAGAGAGAGAGATTACAAGCAGCTCAAAATTTCTTCAAAAAGGAAAGGAGAGCCTTTTCTTGAATCGTCTCAAAAGAAAAATATTTTCCCATGATTGTTGGTCTCATAACCATTTTAACTCTTCCTCCCATTGTTGTCTTCTTCGTCTTTCTCTTTACTATATGTGTAAATCACAATGGACCTCATCCTCTCCTCCAAAGGGGCATCGGGCCATATGTGATGGACGCCTTTTTTAGAGCTATTGACTTGATTATAATGTACTTCTTGCGTCCCAATTTATAATGTTTGTTCAATATTTACATGGTCAAACTACATTCACTTTCTTTCTCTATTTTCATTAACAATTTGATAAATTCTTAAACATATTTTGGGATACGGAGAGTGTTTATTATAAGGACACTCGGTACTTAATATGATAAAAATATTATACTCCGTATTTCTTTTTTCGTGATAGATTTTTTTGGTGCATCTAAAATTATTTAAAAAATTCATGAACTTCTTAATAGTTATAACATTTTCATGATATTGTGATAAATATTTCTTCAATTTTTTTATTTATAATATGAATCTTATGACCACGACAGAAGGAGTATCACTAATCTTTTTTTTATTTTCAAATGGGACTTTGTCAAGGCAAAAACAAATCCATAACTAAGAATAGTCAAAGTCAACCAAATTTTTAATGACTCTTGTGAAAACTTTCCTCGGATTAATGATGGACACTGAAAAGTAGGCAATTTTTGTACATTATTTATAAAAAAAGTAGGCAATTTTTTTTCATGAAATTGCAATTAGGAGTATCCATGAAAAGTAGGCAATTTTTTTTCTTTAAAAAACCTTCGTTTTTGACGTTTAAAAATTAAATTTAAATTTTTGTATATTATTTATGAATATATCGTCCATGCTTGTTTGAAAAAATAATATAGAATTAAAAAATAAAAAATTACATTTTTAAAAATTAGATCAAAAGATTAACAAAAAATAGAAAATAAAAGTAAATAAAATTTAACTCTGTGAATAGTAAATATGTAATTTAATTTGGAACGAAGAAAATAATTTTTTAAATTCTAAACTATTTTTATAGAAAATAATTTAAAAATAATTTTAGTCAAATATTCTAAACCAAAATATACACATTTTTCAATTTTTTTTCTCGTATATAACTACGCGCGGGCGGGCGGGATGGGTATTTACCAAGTCAAGTCCAAGCTCCACGCCGGCACACGTTTATCCGGCGGCATAAATTGATCGGTGAATGAACAAACACCATGATTATACATTTCTCCGATAAACCTCAAACCATCTTTTTTTCTCTCAAGAGATTATTACCAGCATGGCAATGGCGAGTAAAGCCAAACTCATCGTCTTCTTCTCGCTCATTTGCTGCAGTAGCTTTGCCGTTTATAGTTCCGCTGCCATTGACACGCTCAACCAGGGCGATCGTCTCAATTCTTCTTCTTCTTCCTCGGCGTCTCTTGTTTCCGGCAACGGATTCTTCACCTTGCGGTTCTTCAATCTCTCCGCCGGCGAATTGTACCTCTCGATTTGGTACAAAACGGACACTAAGAAGCCCTGCTGGCTCGCCAATCGAGGCCGGCCGCTGAAATCGGATTCTGGGGTTCTTCTCATAACCGGGAACGGCACTCTGAAGATCGATTCCTCCGGAGGGGATTCGATCCAGCTTTACTCCGGTCAATCGGAAGCCAAAGTGAGTGCTGTTTTGCTGGATAATGGGAATTTTGTTCTGAGAGAAGCGGGCGGCGGGCTGATTCTGTGGCAGAGCTTCGATCACCCGACGGATTCTTACTTGCCTGGGATGAAACTAGGGTTTAATCACAAGACTGGTCAGAATTGTGTGCTGACTTCTTGGCTTTCTTCTTCTAATCCACTACCTGGAGCTTTCACACTGGAATGGGTACCTCTTGAGCGCCAATTGGTCGTCAAACGCAGAGGTGTGAAGCATTGGAGCAGTGGGGCTTTGAATAGCAATGGCACTTTTCAGAACATGGATTCCATTTCTTTTGGGGAATCTGGCGCGGAGTACCATTTTACCCATTTTTTGAACAAGGATGAGGACTACCTTACTTACAAGGTTGTTATGGTCGGTCCTCCTTATCCTGGTTGGAAAAACGTGACATCTTTCTCGTTGGGGTCGGATGGGATCATAGTGCTTCAAAAGAGTTTGGGGATGTTTCTCTCTTTATACAAAGAGTGTGATGGAAATGGTATCGGTTCTGGTTGCGAGAGATGGGAGAGGTCCAAGTGTAGGAGTCATGGCGAAAGGTTTGAGATAAAAGAAGTGGTTTATGATAATTCAGTTGCCCACTTTGTAGACTACAATGAGAGTCTAAGTTTTAGTGACTGCCTGGACAAGTGTTGGAAAGATTGTAACTGTGTTGGAACTGGAAATCCCGTTGTTAATGATGATGGACACGGTTGCCTCTTCTGGTATGGACATTTGGAAGAAGTTGAGAATGGGATGCAAGGGATGCTATACCATGTGATCATTCGCCCTCCAGGTTCGTTTGTCTTCTTTGACTCTTTTTCTTTTTCCTCCCGAATACTTGTATAATTTCAGTAATTGGAATTTGAGATATTGACTTGAAATTGTAATAGGTTTTGAATAGTTGTGGATCTTATGTGCTGTTCAATGTTGGATGCAGTGAAGAAGATATGGGTGTGGGTTTTAGTTGCTTTAGCTGTAATCTTGATCATAATTCTCCTAGCCTTGCTGGTTTTTTTGAGATGGAGAAGACTCAAATTGCAAGGTAGGATCCAGACTATGCCGAATTTCAAATTTCCCAAGCTAATGTTATTATTGGTCATTGAATGTGATGTGTATTTAATTTGGTTCGAAACAGAAAAGTTTCTGGCGGATTTGATGACTTTAGATAATCCAAGTGATGCATATGAGCTTGAGAATGATGGAAACAAAGGCCATAATTTAAAAGTATATAGCATTTCAACCATTATGGATGCCACACATTGCTTTTCTTTAGAAAATAAACTTGGAGAGGGTGGCTTTGGACCTGTTTATAAGGTACTCCGTACAATACAATTTTTAAATTTGGAATCATTTGTTGTGAAATTTCATTTCTTGAAGCTTAGTTAATGTGTGTTATATCTTATATTTAAAACGATAAAGCAAGAATGCTGTTTATTGTTACAGGGTATAATGGCAGATGGTCAGGAGATTGCAATAAAGAGGCTATCGGGAGGATCAAGGCAAGGGCTTATAGAGTTCAAAAATGAGCTCATTTTGATAGCTAAATTGCAGCACACTAATCTTGTTAGGCTCTTGGGATTTTGCATTCATGGTGAAGAGAAAATGCTAGTTTATGAGTACATGCCCAATAAAAGTTTGGACTTGTACATTTTTGGTTAGTTTTCCTTCCACTGTTCTAGTACCTATGTTTCTTCACATTGACAATTCTTTTGGTGCTCATCATTTAAAACCCATGGAGTGCTTATTATAAACGATTCCTAAACACACATTTTTACCCTTGATAGATCAATCTAAAAGGGCATCGCTAGATTGGAACAAGCGTTTTGAAATCATTGAAGGAATAGCCCAAGGATTACTTTATCTCCACAAGTATTCAAGATTACGAATCATTCACCGAGATTTAAAAACCAGTAACATATTGCTTGACCAGAATTTGAACCCAAAGATTTCTGATTTCGGCATGGCAAGAATCTTCACGAGTCGGTCTGAAGCAAACACAAATAGAATCGTTGGCACATAGTAAGTCAACAGTTCATCTGGTGCTAGTAACGTTCATTTCTTCTTCTGGAATTCAGATGTGTTTTTTTTGTCATTCTGATAAGTATATTCTACAACTTTGTGACAAAATTTAGTGGTTACATGTCTCCTGAATATGCCATGGAGGGCATCTTCTCAGAGAAATCCGACGTTTTCAGTTTCGGAGTTCTAATGTTGGAAATCGTGAGTGGCAGAAGGAACAATAGCCTATTCCATGCTGACCAACCCCTCAACCTCGTCGGTTATGTAAGTTTGTATGGCAACTCAATTCTATTGGGGTTTCAGTCTCATAACAAACACACGACCCTAAAATCGTAGGACAATTATGTTTCAGGCATGGGAATTGTGGCTAGAAGGAGATGGACTAAGTCTATTGGACCCAACATTGAAAGGTCTGTGTTCCAGAGAGCAAGTTCTGAGGTGCATAAATGTGGCGTTGCTCTGTGTTGAAGACAACCAATTGGACAGGCCATTGATGTCTGATGTTGTGTCTATGTTAGCAAGTGAGGGTATGAAATTACCGGCGCCTAAACAGCCAACATTCCGCCTTCGAAGAAAGATGGCCAGGGCAAATACTCCTAGTGAAGGTGCCGTTGAGAATTGTTCACTTAACACTCTAACTGTATCAGTTATGGAGGGAAGATGATGTTAATATATAAAATGAGTAAATTGATTTAAAAAATATAAATTGTTGTATTTATTTGAAAAGAATAAATAAAGATAGTGTAAAAATTACGGACTTGCTAACGGTGGTGTACGATGGATGCTAAGGGAGTGTATTTCATGTATTTGACGTTGTACATGTCCGAATTCAAATCTCTATATAGAATAAAATGATGAGTAGTGAGTATACGAAACCTTTTTCTTACTGAATGTAGAAAAAATATTATTTAAAATAATTCTATCTTTTTGCGATCTTTAAGAAACAATAACACCGCCTTCTGGCATATGTTCATTGTATCTCAAAATGAACTTAATTTTATGAACTTTACCTTACGACTAAATATAGTTTTGTGTAAATTATTTTCTGTTTTGACTTTTGAGAGTGAAGGTATAAAAATTTGACCAAAGTAAAACATTGAAACGAGTAGGATTTGGAAAATGTCAGATGGTAGGTCGTAGGAAGTAGATGGAGTAGGTTGGATCAAATTTAAGAAAAGTTAGAGCATTTATGCCCATTTAGGCCAAATGATTTTTTTTTGTACTTGCAAAAAGTGTAAGGAAAAATGTTTTGTGAAAGGGGAAGAAGACAAATTGGAAGAGCTCTATCTAATTAAGCAATCTTTTACAAGTAGTTTTTAGTTTAACTTTTTTTTTAGTAAAATATTTTTAGTTGCATGTCTCTTAGAAATAGCTTCTCTATTTTACAGCATTTATTAAAAAAGTTTTACATTAAATAAATGTTGAAATAATATTGGAGGGCATTGTCCCTGAACCCCTACAAACGGTACCCCAAGTATCTGATTTTTTGATAGTGAAGAACAAGCACAATTATCATAGTGTATATATTCGATATATTGCAAAATAAACGCCGTGTATATTATCAATTATCATAGTGTATATATTCGATATATTGCAAAATAAACGCCGTGTATATTAAAGGACATCTAGAACATAAAAATGGAGGAATCGGATTGTATATTATCAAACGAAAAAAAAGCAACCCTGTTTATTATTGAAAAATCTTCCTAAAATAAAAATAAAAGTTAAGTAAAATACCAAAATAAAATTCACCATGTTTTTTATTTTTTTTATCTTTTAGTCTTCTAATTCCACTATATATGATATAGGAGTGTGGTAACAGTGTGGTTATTGTAGTTGTATGTCCTGTACAACTCTAATGATATCTCAATTTCTCAATTTCCCTTATAAGGTTCCGTTTGGTACACATAATTCAAATTATGAAATTAAAAATTAGAGAGATTAATTTCAATTCTGCTGTTTGATAGCACAAAAAATATATGGATTTAAAATTGGTAGTGCCAAACGGATCCTAAATGAAATTCGGAAAAAATTACATTATCACTCTCAATTTGACAACAATTTACATATTTTTATGATATTGTCCCCCGCCACGTCACTTGTTTAATGACGCACCTTTTATAAGGATTCTTATTTTATGATGTGGCATGTAAATATAATTTGGCATCTCAAGATAAAACCTTTTGTAACTAGTGCAAAAAATAAAATGCAACTGAAGTGTTTGGGTATCAAAAATATCATTTCCTTTTTTTGGTTTTTATATTACCACTAAACTTTTTAGTATGTCACTCCTACAATTTTTAAGTGATTACAGCAGGTATACATAGAGAACTTTTATAATGTTACGTACTGATTTTTACTCCATAGTTTTTATGTCAAAAATGCCACTAACTATTTTTCTCAAACGTATCACTTCTTTTTTGTTCTACCAAAAAATTTACCCACTAAATAAGAATCTAAATCAAGACTACATTTTTTAATGCAAATTATATGGTAGAACGGGATATATCATATATCATGACAAACTTATAATTAAAAAATATTTCAAATGAATACTAACTTGGTTCAAAATGAATATTTGTTTGATAAAGGTGAAATTTAACTAAAATATTAAAATAAGACATACCTAAACATGTACATAGTACACATACGAGTAGAGAAACAAACAGGTATGAAAGACTAAAAGCTAATGCTATTACTGGTTGTGCATTAGTAATACACACTGTTATCCTTCTAATTATAAGAGCAAATTGAACTCATTTGCATTTTTATCCTAAGCCAAATGCTATTATGCAAGCATTTAAATCACCCACCATTTCTTAATAGTCATTGTAAGATCTATTTAAAGCTCTCTTTTCTTGCAAATAAGAGAAAACATTCACTGGTCCAAGAATTGCAACAAAATGAAGAACAGAAAGAAAGACAAAAAGGAGATGTTCAGATTAAGATCTACAGAGTGTTCTCTCTCATACTGACTGAAGACTAGCTGCAAAAGAAACGAGGTCGCATACGTATCCGTCTTGGTGTGCAAGCAGTAAAGCATCCCCGTTTGTAGTCGACTACAAATCAAAGAACAAAAAATGCAACAAATTATCAGTGAGGATAGTGAATATATGATGCATTCATTCAAAGGGTGCATTTTTTTTCATTCTTATTGAGACAATGAATGGTAGAGTGTTATTATCTTAAACATTATTCAAAAGTACACTCTCTAGTGAATAAGACTACAAGTGTTACTATGAAGGTAGAGTGTGCAGTTGCAAAGATAAATGAAAGGATACAATGGGCATATAGAAATGTTTAGGAAACACATATGTGCTTTAGAACATGCATAGTAGTACTTGGGAACATAGGCAACTCAGAAACCTCTAGAGGTGTATACAAGAAATAAAATTGCCAAAAAAATGTTTTCAGTAGATGCTTGAAAATGAAACTAACAAGGTATAATTGTTCAAGCTATGGTTGCATCTATTACTAGAAAAATATATTACAACATCAACTAAAAAGCAAGTATTATAACAACATCAACAACAACCAAGCCTTCATTGCAATTCAAAGGGAGGCCGGGGCTACATGCATTAATATGAAATGATTCAAAATCCGAAATTCCACAGATAACCATCAATTAATCTTGAATTCCTTACAAAAAAATAGAGAAGGGACCTCAATCTCATTGAGAGAGCCTACAATTTTGAGCATGATTTGAATCAGGCACCTCAAAGGAGTCAAAGCAACATGTGAGAATCCCCTTCATCAAAGGGAAACCCCAAACATGAAATAGGAAAATGAAATCACTTAATGGCTCATACATTTTTGTCACTATGATGTAGATAGGTCTTTCATTCATTGCAATCTTTCAAAAATACAAAGGTGTTTACCTATGGAGAGGGAGAGGGACTTGGATTTGTTAAAAAAACATGTCAATTCTAAATAGTAACCTATTAAAGGACGATGTAAGAATAAAACAATTAACCAAGAAAAATAATAACACACCATTGAAACAGCTTTTCAAGAGGAAACCAAATAAGTATCAAAGACATTTAGGGGAAAATAAACTCAGCATTGAAGAAAGCTGTCAAAGCATAAAGGAGAAAAGCCCGTTACCCACTCAACGGCTGAGCCCAAGGAGCAAATTGTTGTTCTTAGGCAGGTACTGGATGTTAGGGCTCTTAGCCAAGGTGCTAGCAATCTCCTTTGAGGCCTCAATCCTTCTGAGCTCAATAAGCCCTGTGCCAGCGGCGGCAGTAGCATCTGAAATCAGCTTTGCAGACTCACTCTCACCCTCTGCCCGGACAATAGCAGCCCTGCGCTCCTGTTCCGCCTTCATAACGACGAACTTGGACCGCTCAGCCTCCTGCTGGGCCACCTGTTTCTGCTCCACGGCCTTAGAGAACTCTGGGCCATATGACAAGTGGGTTATGGCGACATCATCCAATCGAATGTTGAAGTCCTTGGCCCTGTGGGTCAAGCTTTCCCGAACCAGGGCAGAAACCTGGGGACGCTCGGTGAGGAGCTGGTCCGCATTGAACTGGGCCACCACAGCTTTCAGGATCTCGTTTCCGATGGAAGGGAGAACCTTGTCGTCATACTCCAGGCCTAGGTTCTGGAAGATGTGGGGGAGGCGGGAGATTTCGGGGCGGGAGAGGACCCGGAGAGTGAGGTTCACCATCTGCAGATCCTTGGTCCCGGAGACGGAGGAGAAGGTGTGAGGCCTGGTGCGGATGTCGAAGACGATCGGCTTCTGGAGCCACGGCACCCGGAAATGAGTCCCCTCGCCGGTGGTCTGGTCGATCACTCCGCGGACCCGGTCGAAAATCACGGCGCGCTGGCCGCCATCGACGGTGTACATCGAGGAGGCGAGCACCGTCGCGCCCACTCCGAGACCGAAGGCGGCGCGGCCAAGGCTTGTCAGTAGGGAAACCGCTTGTTGGCTAGCCATAGATAGCAATGGAGAAGGGGAATTGGGAGGCTAGGGTTGGGGTGGAAGGCTGAGTTGGGGGGTTATACGAAGAAGAAGAAGAAAAAGGAGGGTTGAATTGCTCTGCAAGAAAGCCTCAACTCCCACCCAGTACGGCTTACCCTCAGATGGTACAAATGCCCAATTCAAATGAATTTAACAAATGAACCAAATACGGAGTAATTTAACTTGTTTTGGAATATAGTTACATGAAATCATATTTTTAAGTTCGGTTTTATTTATAGAATTAAGCTAGGGGTACACCAACATGAGGTACCCCAAGTGTACATTAAGCCAACACAGTCATACACAGATACAAAATGTCTGTGTTGCACAGACATTTTGTGTACGCGTGTATCTGTGTTGCCTTGGTGTACACTTGGGATACCCCGTGTTGGTGTACCCCTAGCATTGCCCTTATTTATATTCTATGCTACTTTGGTGATTTAATACTGTTCATCGGAATTGATTCTTAATGGACATTTGTTGTTCTTGAAACACTCAAACAAATGTAAGCTTAATACGGAGTATTTAAAATTTAGAATTTAAAATAAAAAATATAAATTTTAATTTAATATGAAGTATATTTTAATTTTAATTTATTTTTTAGTTCTAAATTTTACTATCTCCGTCTATTTTGACTTTTTCCAATTAAATGTTTTTAACTTTTGACCTATAATTAAATAAAATATATATTATATATTAATTAGATAAAGTAATAGTTTGAACATATTTTATATAATAAACCTAATAAAACTACTCCCCTCCGTCCCAAAATAAGTTGTCTGTTAGTTGTTTTCGTAAACTTTTAAAAATAAAATACCTAAACTACTCCTAAAATAAGTCACTCTTATTCACCTTATCTTCTCATTCATCATCACTCCTTCTAAAATGTAATAGCAATTTTGGAAATTCAACTCTATTTTATATTTTCTTTAAATATGCCCAAAAATCAAAATAGACGATTTAAATTGGGACGGAAGGAGTATTTTTCTATTAATATTTCATATACTTTTTATTTAATTTGGGATCAAATTTTACCAATTTTAACCAAAAAATCCAAAAGTGGACAAATACTCTGTGATAGGGGAAGTACAATTTAAATTTCAATTTTAAAATTTTGATATTTTTAACGTCCCACTAATACAATATGGGTTTGAATGAAGTTTGAAAAGAAATGGGATTTTACTTTGAACTACTCTACCGCAAGAGATCCCAACATACAATTCTATATCAATTCTATTTATAATTTTGTGTTACCAAACGAAGAATTTGGAATTACTACATACAATACAATTATATGTCAATTCCTTGATTATACAAAACAAAGGATTTGGAATTCAATTATAACTCAATTCTATCAAATTCAATTCCATAAATATCTAATTTTAATTTCTGCGTACCAAACGGACCCTCAAAATAGAAAAAAAACATGTTACGTTCATTATCACCACTACATATCTTCATTCTATAAGACTATAGGTGAGAATAAAACGTTTTGGGGGTTGCATTTCAATTTCCATGGGTTTCTATACATGGCCGGTTAAACTTTACTTTAGTCTCCCCATCTTAAAACCTACATACTTTTAAACCTAGCAAATTTATCAGTCGGGTTTGAATTTGGTCACTTTGGATTAGGGTATTGGGTTGGAATTGATACAACATGTTACAAGTTCATTTATATTTTTTTAAAATTTTAAATAATTTTTATGACACAGTGACACAGTGTTAACATTACGAATAAAAAAATTAAATATGTAGAAATTCTGAAAAAAATGTAAGATAATTATGTTATATCATTAAAATTTTATATAAAAATATTAATTAATACACAAAAAACGAGTAGTAAGCAAAGAAAAAAATTAATTTGTGTACTAGATTTATACCTGTGCGTTGCACGGTAAGTAATCTCTATTCTTAAAAGCAGGGGAATTATGCCCCATGCTTTTTCCCGCCCATTTGCCAAGCCTTATGAGCCATTGATATTTGCCAATCTATGCATCTACGGCCCATATTTACTGCGGATGAAAAGGAAAAAAAGGAAATAAGTATTAAATAAGTACCGCAAAAAGGCTTTAAAAGGAATCACATTTATATACAATATTAACATAATTACACAATTTTATATCTAAATTACTAATTAATAATAATTGTAACGGAAAAAATTAATTTATTCCCACGGAAATTATTAATAATTTATATTTAACATGTTAGATGCCTTGGTAAAAAATAATTAATAATTTGTAATGAAAAAATGAAAATAATTAATAATTTGTAACGAAAAAAAGTATTAATTATTTGGAAACACATTTATACAATATTGTAAGATAATTCATACGTATTAAATATATATCGCATAAAAAGGCTTTAAAAGGGAAACAAAAGAAAGATATTATAATTAGATAGTTTCATTTTTTGGAATGCATAAGTACCGTTTTCTTAAAAAGGGAAACAAAAGAAAGGTATTTAAGGAATTAAGTGATTACAAAAAAGGAAATCCCGTGCATATATTAAATAAATACACAGTATAAAATTCGTATATTTATTATTGATTTGGAGGAAAAAAGGAAAGCTACCAATTATACTTATTTTGCAATAATTCGTATATTTATTTATTATAAATTACTAATTAATAATAATTGTAACGGAAAAAATTAATTTATTCCCACGGAAATGATTGGTTAGATTAAAAAAAAAGAATCCGAGTATATTTAATAAATAAACAGTATAAAAACGTGTTAGATGCCTTGGTAAAAATACGAGTAATTAATAATTTGTAACGAAAAAAATGAAAATAATTAATAATTTGTAACCAAAAAAGTATTAATTATTTCGAAACACATTTATACAATATTGTAAGAATGCATAAGTACTGTATTCTTAAAAAAGGAAACAAAAGAAAGGTATTTAAGGAATTAAGTGATTACAAAAAAGGAAATCCCGTGCATATATTAAATAAATACACAATATAAAATTCGTATTTTTATTATTGATTTGGAGGAAAAAAGGAAAGCTACCAATTATACTTATTTTGCAATAATTCGTATATTTATTTCGTTTCCTTTTTCGAAAATAGGAAAGCTACCCATACGAAAATAGGAAGGGACAGTGCAGGAGATTTTTATATTTTGTTTCCTTTTTAAATAGGTAATTATTTACGCCTAATTATTATTATTCTTATTATAATTACTTGGAATAATTTATGCCTGATTATTTTATCAAAAAGTAATTATTTATGCCTAATTAAATAGGTAATTATTTACTTAATCACTCTTTTCTTAAAAGAAAATACTTTTAAGAATAATAGAATGATAAATTAAAGGAAATTTCGCATGCATAATTACATAATTCTGATAAAAAAGGAAGAGACTAATTTCGCAAACAAGATCTACGTTGTTTCCTTTTTAGAATAATTTCACATGCATAATTACTTAATTACTCTATTCTTATTTAGATTGATAAATTAAAAGAAATTTTGCATGCCTGACATATTTCTAAAAAAGAAACAAAATATAAAAAATATTATTTATATAAACTTCTTTTCTAATACTGAACTTTTTTATAAAATTGGAATTGATATAATAAAAAAAATGATTACCATTCAACTAAAAATAATATTTGTCCATTAAAAGGTAATAATCACGTTAAGGTGTAAATTTTTTAATCAATGCAATAAATTTACAGTTTCGTAATTTATATAATTTCCAATTAAGAAACAAACCATTTTAATCATACAAACCATTTTGTTAAGAAAATAAGCTTTCAATTTAATTATGTTTCCATTTAGAGATTCGGTGCCAAATATTTTATGAAGAAATTTAAATATATAAGTTTATGCATTTAAGGAAGGCACAATTAAAAAAATCAAAATAAAAAATAATAAAAGAAATTAAATATAAAAAATGTCAAAGTAATACATAGAAATGGTGGCACATATGTTAAGTGTTGAATNTAATAATCACGTTAAGGTGTAAATTTTTTAATCAATGCATTAAATTTACAGTTTCGTAATTTATATAATTTCCAATTAAGAAACAAACCATTTTAATCATACAAACCATTTTGTTAAGAAAATAAGCTTTCAATTTAATTATGTTTCCATTTAGAGATTCGGTGCCAAATATTTTATGAAGAAATTTAAATATATAAGTTTATGCATTTAAGGAAGGCACAATTAAAAAAATCAAAATAAAAAATAATAAAAGAAATTAAATATAAAAAATGTCAAAGTAATATATAGAAATGGTGGCACATATGTTAAGTGTTGAATATAGAAATAATAATTAAATCATAAATTACTTTGTAGCAAGAATAAATTATGTATTACCGTGTAGAAAAAATAATAATACTAATATATCGTGCAATAATATTAATGTATTTAATCATTATTAATTTATTGTCATGAAAGAATAATACTCCCTCCGTTCCACAAAACACTTCCGTTTTAATTTTTTGCGCAGCCCATAAAATACTTCTATCCCACCTAAAATGTCTAAAATACCCCTAAAACAACTTCTACCCGCAATAAACTACATAGAGGGGTATATTTTAGATAATTTAGGTAGGAGTAAAAGCGTTTAATGAGGTGCGCAAAAATTTAGGGCGGAAGGGTTTTAAGGAACGGAGGGAGTAATAATAATAATATACTGTGTAATAATATTATCGTACTTAGTTATTATTATCGTGTAATAATTCTAACCAAATAAGCTTTCAATTAAACAATGTTTCCGTTTAGAGATCCAGGCCCAAACGTTTTATGGAGACATCGTTTTAAGAGGTGCGCCTTTAATACATGGAAACATGTTGAATAATATATACCTTTATATGTTGAACAATCAACCACTAATTAATAACTTACCCAGAAAAAATTAGATGCATGGAAATAGAAAAATACTTTAATTTTTTCATACTTTAAATACAATCATTCTCAATCACTTTTCGTAATTAGCCTCTTTCAAATTTTTTGAATGACTTACACTCTCTTGAGTTCTTAAACAAGATTCATGCTTTTCGGAGTAGAAAATCATGAAGAAGTCTTTAAATAAATAAATTTTTAAAAGTTTGATATATAATGGCTCCGTCCCGAAAGAAGTTCCCTTATTGACTTTTTGGAAAATTAAGGGAGAGATATTTTAGTGTTTGATTTTCCATGAATACCCTTGATGTGATTGATAAAAGTAAGATGTGATAGATAGATTATTAGTAAAAAGTATGATGTGATAGCTAGGGTATGAAAAGGTAAGAGGCAAAAGTAGTTTTTTTAATAGAAAAAGGATCGGAGTTTGTGGGATAAAGAAAAAATGAAAAGGGAAGATTTTTCAGAGACGGAGGGAGTATTAGATAAGAAATTGCATCCTTCAGAAATGATCTTAATTTAGTAATATAAATATGACCCATGCAACGCACGGGAGTGATGCTAGTTTATTTCAAACTATGAAATATACTCCCTCCATTTCGTAAAACACTTGCTTCTTTCATTTTTTGTTTTCCCAAAAATACTTCACTTTGTATTAAAAAAACCACTTTTACCTTTATTTTTTCTTACTCTACTTATCACATCATACTTTTTCACTAATAATCTATCCATCACATCTTATTTTTACATATCACATCTAGGACAATTGGAAAGTCAACCACAAATACACACTCTTTATTTTTCCTAAAAGTCAAAATAGGAACTGAGGGAGTAATAATTTCATAAAAGAGTCTATATGTGAAGTTAAATATATAAATTTAGCATAATGTATACTCTCTTCGTCCCAAGAAAAAAATTTCTTATTTTGACTTTTTTAGAGTTAAAAATAAGGAGTTACAACCTACAATCCTACATATATGTCACCGAGAAGCACCATCCCCCCCCGCTGGGATCATTCCCCCAAGCTGCTGGGTCACCATACCGGCTCCTAAGGTCGGTATTTGCTGGATGGGCTGTCGAAGGCCCTCTTCGCATGTCGTTTGCCACCTTGGAATGCGATGACGGAGGTCAGTGGTGTGTTGGCTAGTGACATCTTAAAGAAGATGTCCAGGTTGTCTTGTCACGTGTTAGTAGGTGCCTGTCATTTTGATGCGACCGCCATTGGGGATATCAGATGACCTTGTGACTCTTGTTGAGAGCAGCTGGGGGGCTTACTCTTTCGGCATACCCCAGAGTTTGCTGGGCTCTGCCATGCTGTGTGATCTAAAGCTGATCAGCAAGGATGGGTTTGGTTACTGTCTGTCCAAACTGCTCCTCCAGAATACAACCAACCACAGTTGCCAGACACTTTCCCCAAAGGAACTCATATGGCCAGTCAGTAAGGACCGCTAGCTACCTGGAGCCGTCTACGGCTCTTGTGACAGATGCCCACAAACAAGGCCTTGAGGTGTTTGCCTATGGCTTTGCAAACGATAACTACATCCCTTACAACTATAGCCTTGACCTGGCGAACGAGTACCTCCAGTTCATTGACAACTCTCACTTCTGGCGAGGTCACCGATTTCTGCTCCACCGCGTCAAATGTCATTGCGTGCTTGGGCTCATAACAAGAATGCTTCTAGGGCATTGAGGAGTAAGAACCATCACCATTAGACAGACCCCATTGTGATGGTGGCACCATTTTATACATATCTTTGTTGTGATTGCAGAGAGTTGGTCATTTCCCACAATGGGGCTAGTGGCGACTACCCGGGAGGGTCAGATATTGCTTATCAGAAAGCGATAGACGATGGTGCTGACATAATCGATTGCAACGTCCAGCTGTCGAAAGACGGAGTCGCGTTCTGCCCGGACTCTGCCGACCTCAAGTTCACAACCACAGCAGGAACAGCTTTCATGGATAGAGTGGAGCAAATCGAAGGGGTTAACGATGGGCAGCCAGGGATTTTCTCCTTTGGTCTTACCTGGGTTTAAATCCAGTCCCTAAAGCGTAAGCAAAGCTCGCTCATTCCAAGACAATTACAAGTTTTTTTTTTGTCTTGAGCTTCTCCTAACTGTCTGACTTAGCAGCTAAAATCAAGTCTCCATACGAGGCGCCATTGGACAGGAACCATGCATACCAATTTAATAAACTTTGACCTCAAATTAAATAAGAATGACATTAGACATTGATACAAAAATAGATTTATTAAATTTATTATATCAAATTTTTCAAAATATTATTTTATCTAATTAATATACAATATTATTTTATTTAATTATAGTCAAATGTTAAAAATAGTTGACCAAAAAAGTCAAAACAAGATAAATACTTAGGGACGGAGATAATATAACGTACATTTTGGAGCCTTACCATTCATTTCTATTTTATCTTCCAAATTTGACGGTCGGGGAAAGATATTAAAAATGCTGAGAATTTAGTGCCCTTGGACACTATTTGTAACAAAAATGCTAAGGATGCACCAAATGGTATATTTTATTTGTACCCCACTCCATCTTCACCATACAAAAGCAAGTGAGAGAAAAATTAAAAATAAAAAAGAAATGAAAGGTAAAGATGTAGGGTGTATGAATGGGGTACCCCATTTGGTATACCCCATTCTTCTTATTGTAAAAGATAAGAAATACTTTTCTATCACTTTTACATAAGTCTCGAAGAAGGCTATTAAGGGTTAGGAAGGCCATCATCAAAGCCATCGGCGAATCTCCTCCGCCGTTCACCAGGTGATTTTTTTATAACCTCTTTTATGAAGGGTAATTCGTTTATTCATTCATTGCTTCATTATGAAATGTATAGGGGGAGTATTTATAACCTCTTTCAAAGCAACAATCTTAACACAACAAACTTAATTACTTACTCCGTATGTAACTAACTCTCAATTACCCTGTATCAGTAAAGAAGATTCAAAGTGAAATTGTGAATTTAGGTTTTGGAAATAATAAACTCTGGACTCATCTGAATCAATATATCCTCATTTTACTCTTGAGAACTACTAAACCTCAATCTTCTCCATCTTTCAATCCAAAATGCCAATATTTTAGCTAATACTCGAGGCTCTATAACTAACTATTTTACATCTATCATTTTAAGAAAACTACTGCTCTTGATTTCTTCATTAGTGGATCACAGAATTTTAGATGCCCTTGAAGTCAATAAGTTTCTTCTCCTTATTGTCATAGTTAAACAGCACAATCATTTGGTAATAATAAAGCATCACCAGCAACATGGGGTTACATGGGTAATGAATGTCTAAAATGGAAGAACTAAGATGATATACATGAGTTCACGCAATACTAAATTAAAAAAATCTAAGATGTATGTCATGAGGTCTAGAGCCCACCCATAGTGTTTTTATCAATTGTAGGTAAAATATTCGGAAATATAGCTTAAGATGTTGCTCTCCCCGGTCCCAAAACTTGAAAGCACAATCTTTAACAATTAACATAAAAAGTTAACATTTAAATAAATAATAAAACAATAACTCGATCCATGCTACAATTTCATATCTTAGTTGCTTAATTCACATTGTTTTTTTATACCAAGCAAAAAAAGTCAAACCAACTTTTTGGTTTCTGTCAAGTTAAAAATATCATCTCAAAAACAAATTGGATGAACTCAAACTGTGGAAGTCTATAAAACCAGAAAGTAATGAAGTCATATTATTTCATGGTAAGTGTTTAAATTTGTTTGAATATAAGCTCTTAAGTTTACCCAAAATTTAAACCAAATAAGCCTATTTTTTAAAATTAAGTTTCTTGATTCAATCATATTCAATCTATAAATCAAGAATTGAACCATAAAAATATTTAGGTGAAGAGATTAAATAGAGAAATAGAGGTGTAAGTGTGTAAGTACCGAAAGAGCCACAATTACAGTGCATTAGTTGTCCTCCACAATCTTTTTCGTTACCCTTAAAACAATCTTCTAAAGTTAGGATGGTTGATTATGATATTCTAGTTATTAATATTTTGAGATTATAATCACTTACTTAAAATCAAGCAAATTCTGCAAGTCATAACCCAAAAATTAGCCCGAAATATTAAAATAAATTCTTAAACTTCGGGGGGTGTATTCAATCAGGATTTTGATGGATTGTTTTGGATTCGGAAATTCCGTAGGTATTCAATTTAGATTTTAAAAAGTCATTTAAAATCTGAATGTATTTAATTCAGATTTTAAAAAATCTTTCTAAATCTAATAATATTCAAAATCTAATAGATTCTTAAAGATTGTAAAAAATGTGGATTTTGATGGATTTTTATTTGTTGGGTAAAAATACAAATCCACCCTTAAAATCTCACCAGAAAAGTAAAGATTTTGACAACTCCATGGATCCTCTCCTCTGGTCGCCAATCTTCTTCATCTTCTTCCAGTCGATCGTCTCCTCTTGTCGCCATCTCTTCTTCATCTTTTTCCAATCGGGCATCTTCTTCATCTTCTTCCAATCGCTCATCTCCTTTGGTCGCCATCTCTTCCAGATTCGTTGCTACTCTTACTGAATTGAAGGCCGATTATTGAGGAATTATGAGCGATCTGGTAAGCCTCTTTTGATTCTGAAATTGGAGTCCCGATTATAGTTAATTAAGGTAACGAATTAGGCAAAAGGGAAGTTTGTTGCACTGTTCACATTGCGATTTGAGCTCTCTGAGATGGTTCAGATTCCTGCTTGTTCTTTATCAATTTTGTTCGTAAACTCTTGGTGTTTTGAAAAAATATCTCATGGCTAGTATTGGATTTCTGATTTGATAATATTGTGATGAAGTCTTTCAACTCTTGGTAATTGGTCATCTTCTTTAACCTGGTTCCTGGCTATGTGTGACTGGCATGTTGCTCTTCCTTTTGGTGGTTTGTTTGTGGATTATTGGTGAATGTTTTGTGTTCTTTTGGCATGATAATGGGTTGGAATGGCTGAGACAATATGGGCAGGGTCAAGCACCAACAGTTCACCTTTCACCTAGGATTGGTTCTTGCTTTCACTGACACTTTTTTCGATTTTGCTGTTGGCGAATTGTTGTTTTGAGGACTTGAGAGAGTTGCTGGAATTTTGGGTTCAAAGAAGGAAGATGAAGGGCAGTGGCAGCCCTAGGAAGATGAACGGCAAAGAGAAGGAAGATGAAGGGCAGTGGCAGCCCTAGGAAGATGAAGGGCAAAGAAGGAAGATGAAGGGCAACCTTGAACAACTCTTGCTAGAAGGAAGATGAAGGACAAGTTGGAGCTGTTTTAGTATTGGAGGTTTCCAACATGTGCAATGTATAGATTTTAAAAAATAATTCATTTTTATGTGTAAATAATCCATGAATTATAAACAATCAAATAGAATCATACAAAATCCTATTGATAAAATACATTAAAATCTACTTAACTCTATATAGATTTAAAATAATCCATGGATTTTACAGAATCTATGGATTCTAAATAATCTAAAAAATCCATTAGAATCCTGATTGAATACACCCCCCTTAGTTTGAATATTACCTCTAAACTTTTTGAAAGGAATAAAGCTGATATTTTAGAATTCCAATTTTTCTTATTGAAAAGCATAAATGCAGTTTAACAAAATTTGAATTATTAAAATTTATGATTGAAGTTAAACAGAACAATAGAGGCACACGTACCCCAAGTTGTAATCGTTGTGCGGCAAATCGTTGGAAATCACCTAACCATAGGTGAGCAATAGTGCAGTGAGTTGTTGTTCTTTGGTGACCTAAAATGAATAAAAAAGAAAATAAGAATTGTGAATGGCAAATAGAATTAATCAAAAGTGGGTTTTGTTCTCTCTATGGTTATACTTGCATTTATTTAAGCCACAATCTAATCTAGAGGCACACGTACCACGAGTTGTAATCGATGTCTGACACAGTGTTGGTAATCACCTAACCGCAGGTGAGCAACAGTGCAGTGAAATGTTGTTCTTCGGTGACCTAAAATGAATAAAAAAGAAAATAAAAATGAACAGCAAATAGAGTTAATCAAAAGTGGGTTTTGTTCTCTCTATGGTTATACTTGCATTTATTTAAGTCCCAATCTAATCTAAGTGCATACAAAGCAAAAAGGAACTCGCTCAATCTAGTTATATACATAACATCAAGCCATGGGATGTAGACAATTTTGAGGTGTTTCTTTTACATCCCGTGGCTCTTGGAGCATGATTTACTTTCTCAGGCGTAGTTTGTTTTTTCCTCTGTGCGTGTACAAACTTCCTTTCAATTGTTTGCTTGAATGGAATTAGTCATCATATAGTTCAAGATATGATGGCTTCATTTAAATGAAGAGACATCTGTGTAAGATATATTTATGCTACCAACCACATAAACCTGTAAATGTCATGTCATTATATTTTTTAAAAAAATGATATCCTTTATATAAATAGATAGATTAAAGTATGATTTTGATCTATAAGTTCGAATTCATCTTTATTTCTATCCAAATTCTTTGACAAAAATATAAAAGAACAATTTTTTTAACTCCTAAGAGAAAAAAGCAGCAGAAGATGTCTGATACATTCAAAGAAGTATTTTTAAAAATTATTGAATACATGTGTACAATCAATAGAAAACATTTTCTACTGTAAATCTAAGTGAGAAAGGTAAAAACTTACTCATGTCAAGTTTGATTTTTTTCCCAGTGTGTGTCCAGTTTTCTAATCAATTGTAGGCTTGAACAGAATTGGTCATCAAACAGTTCAAAAAATGTTGCCTACATTTAGATGAAGAGACATATGTAAGATATATATATATATATATATATATATATCCCAGTAAGGAGCCACCAAAATCGGTGGGGTAAGGTCTAGGAGAACCCTTACCAAATTTAGCTAGGACCCTGTCCAGTCTCCTCATAATCCTCCCTGTGCTCCTTATTCCTGACCAAGTGTATTTGGTTCCAATAGTGTGAGGAGTTGTAAGCAAGCATTGAAGGATACATTCTTTGAAGTCATCCATGTCTGATTGTAGGGGGGGGGGGGATTTCTCCCAATGTGCTCTGTGATATCAGTAATGATATTAAAATCCCCACCAACAATCCAGTTAAAATTAGGAGGGGTCAGATTTCTCAGTTCTTCCCACAGTGCTTTTCTTTCTTTCCCAGTGTGTTTGCCATATACAGTAGTACATTATTCTGGTGATGTTCAAGCTGGAGGAGTCTTG